TTAACAGTTGAATCTGTTTATTATAATGAAGGAGATCTTATTTTTTAAAAATAAGTTTACATTTTTACTTGCCAGTGGCATAAATCTCTAAGGATAACATACTTTTTTCCCCACTAGTAATAAATGGGAAGTGATGCCTGAATGCTTTGCAGTTTTGAAAGCAATAAGTGAAGTAACTGGGAAAATCTGGTATGAGCACTAAATCTAAGAAATGTAGAGTAAAATAGTTCTGAACAGTGTCATCCTGGCTGCTAGGATGCAACCTGGAATTTTATATACCCTATTGATGGAGAATGATTTTTCTCTATATATAAATACTGTATTTCATATACACTATATATTTTGCACTTAAAACCCATATTTCCTTTTCAGAGCATAAAGGGATAATCATTTAATATCGGGCCTTAATGGGAAAGTGTTTGGAAGAGGAGTAGTAAACAAAGACACTGTAAAATTTATTCAATACACTCAGCTAAAACTCTGCTGAGGCAGGAGGCGACTAAGGCATCCAGTAAGTATCATGTAATCATCAGAGATAAGTTTTCATCTCAGGGAATTCCCAGGTCTGCAACATTGGTATGATCATGTATAAGGGAATTTTCATCTGACCATTCTACACTCACACTTTCAATATAAAAAAATTAAGTTGGTCTCTTCAGAAGAAAAAACAACCAAGTATTGATTGTGTGTGTGTGTGTGTGTGTGTGTGTGTGTGTGTGTGTGTTCCTGTAAAGTTCTACTTAAATACTTAAAGGTCTAAATAACCATCTAATCTCAAACTTTAAGATGTTTCTACTTAAATTACTAAAACATTGAGCATATTGATAATGTTTGCACTGCTGATACAACACAAGCATTTGTTACAACCACCACAACAATAAAAAAGCAAAAAGACAAAAGCCCCTAATGGTATTACTTATCATTTTGGGATAAAATTATAATTGGGAGCAAGTGACCGAAGAACGAAGAATATATAAATCTATCATGTGTATTATGTTTCAAAAATGATTACACTCTTAAATCTATCACAACATACTAGACTGAAATATTTAGGCAACTAGTTATGGAAGTTGATATTTAAAAACATGCAGTTATATCAAATAATTTATGTAAAAATATTTTACTCAAATATTTTTGCATAATTGCCTCAATTCTCAAAAAAATTATTGGCATAGACTTAGCCTACATTGTCACATCTAATAAATTTCACATTCCATCCTAGGGCCCAAATGCTATAACTACTGATGCCAACCATTTTAAGATTCTTTCTTTCCATTTTTATTCTGACTATTGGACCAAAATAATAGTTATAACGAGACTTCCTTTCATTCCAAATTTTCTCTTAATTAATCGCATCAGTCTTGTTGTTTTACTTTTAAGCGCTCTCTTTGCCTTTCTCTCCTCAAATCCCATGTACTTTAAGCCCTAGCCACTTGAGGCAGGTAGTATATATCACTATATCAATTCGAGAAATGTAAAATTAGTTCAGTGATGAAGTGAAAGAACAATTAAAATGTAGCAAACTTCTTGTCTATTTTTCAGTCAAAGCCTACCTTAAAACTGCATCAGCCAGGGTTTCTATGACACTCTAACAACTAGAAGTGAGTTTGTATTTTTCACTTACATATTATATATTTTGATATATTATGTTGCTGCCAGTAATTATGACTGATCTACACTCAACCTGCCCTTCAGCGTTTTATTGAATTGCATTTCAACAGTGACTCATAGTTCATACAAAAATGTACATGTGTGTTAACAAGTTTAAGAAATCCAAGAAGGAAGACACAGATGTTTAAAAGTTGTGGATACATAGATGAAAGGGAAATGCAGAAATGCTAATGATGACATTTTCAAAATTATTATTCTTAGTTGGAAATAACTTGGACTGATGCTCAGTTTAGATAACATTAAAAACATCTTTTACAAAAAATGTTTGTAAGCTGGGTGCAGCGGCTCACGCCGGTAATCCCAGCACTTTAGGAGGCTGACGTGGGTGGATCTCTTGAGCCCTCAAGTTAGAGACCAGCCTGGGCAACGTAGCAAAACCCTCGCCTCTACAAAACAAAACAAACAAACAAACAAACAAAAATTAACAGGGCATGGTGGCGCATGCCTGTATTCTCAACTACTAGGGAGGCTGAGGCAGAAAAATCACTTGAGCCAGGAGTTGGAGTTTGCACTGAGCCATGTTCATACCACTGCACTCCAGCATGGGCAACAGAGCAGGACTCAGTCTCACAAACAAAAACTAAAACAGGAAGAAGTTTCCATGAAAGTTAATAAACCATTAAAAACTTAAATCAAAGCGCCGGGCGTGGTGGCTCATGTCTGTAATCCTAGCACTTTGGGAGGCTGAAGTGGGCAGATCACAAGGTTAAGAGATTCAGACCATGCTGGCCAACATGGTAAAACCTGTCTCTACTAAAAATACAAAAAAAAAAAAAAAAAGCTGGGTGTGGTGGCGTGCACCTGTTGCTAGCAAACTCCACTCATAGTGGAGCTATGGGAGGCTACTTGGGAGGCTGAGGCAGGAGAATTGCTTGAACCCAGGAGGCGGAGGTTGCAGTGAGCTGAGATGGCGCCACTGCACTCCAGCTTGGCAACAGAATGAGACTCTGTCTCAGAAACAAATAATAATAATAATAGTTCAAATCAAACATAGTATTGTCATTACTGGTCAAACTGAAGAAAAACAATCTCTCTTACAACTTTTAGTTACTGGAGGGACATTTTCTATAGCAAACAAAGTTGTTAAGTGTTGAAACAATTGTTAAATGCAAAGCACTGGGGTGTAAGCAAAAGCCACTTCTAACTCCATGTATATATCCAAGTAGAGAGAACCCACACACTGCACAAAGTGGCAGTTAGGCACAGAATTGATTTTCTGTCCCAAATAACTAAGGAGAAGCTATTTTTAAGTTATATATATATATATGGGCAGAATTGAATAGCAGTGTGAAGTTTAGGGTAAAGTCTGCATATACTTTAAAGATTATTTTAGAGTATGAATTAAAACTTTTTTAACATTTTTTCTCTCTCTTCTAGTTACAAAACAGAAGTCGAATTGTGATCATTGACTGATTAGGAAGGTTGCTCTCTGGCAGAGATTATGTATAGAATCTAGAAAATTGTGTGTATATATATTGCTTGAAGACACAGAAATGCCTTCCTCTTCCTGCATTCACAGGAAATATCCCATAATAAGGTTATTCACCCATAGTAAGCAACATGTATTGGGATTTGTCCTCTGGTTACTGTGTTTATGAGTGGAGTTTGCTAGCAACCCTGCAGAAGAAGAGAGATGGCTCACACGAAAGATCCCCTGAGTGATAGTGCTTTTGGGTTTCTTAACTAGAGAGCTTGTCCTGCCACTCCTTTGTCTGCCAACAGGAACACTTCCCAGGGAAATGTGACATTTGTGCAGCCTCCACTGTATTAAAACTGCCTCAACATCAGTTTTAAGTTTTAAAATATAGGTATACGAATTTAGATGTCCATGCAAAACTGATGCTCTTTCCTATAATATCATCCAGAACCATTTGAAAGTTCCAATATGTAGTATTAACAGCCTTGAAAATTAAGACACAGTAGCAGGTAAAAATAGGCAAACAAAAACCTCAGCAGCCACACAACTCCAAGTAACACATTTAGATGTAGTATGCCTTTGCTTGGTTTACCATCCCCTGATGAAAAGGGCTGCAAAAATTGATCTCTCAAGGCTGCAGTAAGGTCATAGAAATTGATAATCCTTACAAGCAATGCTTATGTGAGTCTGTCTGTGTCTTGCAGATAGTGCACTTTGTAAATTAATCCTCCAAAGGCAAATATATTGTAAGTAGCTTGTTATCTCTAAAATACTAAATTGAAGAATACATGGGATTATATTGACAGAAATTACATTTTCTGTAATGGGGTTTAATATATCTGAAATCTCTCCCAAAGGCTCCCAGGCTTTCTAACAGAGAATGGTCTGTTAATGTAGGTGCAATAGACATCAAGAACAAATTTATTCACCAAAATGGATTAGGCCATGTAATCAGAGATACTGTAATATTAATCTTTGACACTTATTGAACAGAAAGAAATACTTCTGTCTGCAAACTGGCATTCCTAGTTCTCCCCTTCCCCAACCCAGGCTTTGGGCCTTTTCTGGATTTTACTTCAAAGAGGATAAGGTTTCCCCACCATAAACACTAATCTAAAAATATTAGGACAATTAATTAGATACACTTACTTTTAGAGGATATTGGATTTCGATACCCTTCAAATATGACACTAGCCCTGGGTGATTATATGAAACCTGGCTTTCAGCACATTCACAAAGGGTAATAAATCATACTTTCTCAAAGCCTCGTTGCCACACTGCTGTACATTAAGTCAGAATATTGTTGGCTAGTACTTGGTACGTCATCTCAGCTTCTCCCCAAATCAGGAATTTACACTTTATTTAGAAACAGTATTGCACAGCCCTCAGATACCTCACGTTTGGAATAGCCTCAAAGAGAAACATAAATAATTTCTTCCTTTCAGTATTCCAGAGATAAGAGTAAAGGAGAGACTATCCTTGAATGCATAGCTCTAACAAAATCTAACTAAATTTAGTTATTCAATGAATTTAAATCTGACTGATATGTGATGGTGGATTTTCTTGTTCTGTAGAAAATAGGATGATACCACTCTATCAATTACCCTGAAGGGGGAAAAAAAGCCACAGAGAGAGAGACATTTACAGAGCCATAGTGAATGTGAATTACACACATACTTATACTACGCATAAATTGTCAACTTATAAAGGAGGTAGAAGGCAATACAATGTTTTATTTCCCATACTAGCAAATGTTCTCACATATCAGTCAACAGTTTGTTTTTACTTTTGGATCAACAAGCCACCAGGGAAAGCAGTGGCAACTGGGTGTGTCTTCTTCATGCAAAACATGAGCTGCAGGTTGCCAGAGGGGGAAACAGATTGTGTGTAAACACAAAGCCAAATTACTTACCAATTGTTCACTTGAAGAATGGTGAGTCCCGTGTCTTGTGCCAACTGCTTTTTCTGTTCTTCAGAAGGGTAAGGGTGCTGAAAGAGAATAAAAAAGATATGTGTGCATCAGGCAATGTTTAGGCCATTTTGTCAATAGCCTAAGTGTCTCATGAAGTCTATAATTAAAGGTAAAAATGCTGAGGTGTGTCACTCTTATTAATGGAATACTACATCATCTAATTAATGGCAGTAAAAGACAAGCCAATTACAAAGATTAGTGAAGTGTATAAATAGCTACTTAGGATACTTGCAGAACCTTGATACTGAGTTTATCCTTTAACAGGTTTATTTGTTGCAAACACAGAAAGCTTAGTATGATCTTCACTGTATTTTATAGTATTAAAATAAGGACAAGCCATTTGTTACCATCTAAAAGTATACTGCCCTCACTTAATATATTCACTGAACCATAAATTTCTAAAGCTGACCCATTTGGACCAACAATCTCAGCTGAGGTCCCCACAGTGGCATTCTCCCTCTAAAACACCATATTGCCAGATGCAAATATCAAAACTAAAATGGGTTTTATTAAAACTCTCTCTCTCTCTCTCTCTGTATATATATATATATATATATATATATTCATTTTAGCTCTTCAGCAAAGCACAAACAAACAAAATTCAACAATGCTTGTTTCCATATCTGAATGTCAATACATGCTGAGATTCTGAACACAGGCCAATATAAGGTCAAAGACCAGCATATTCTGCATGTTAAGAACAAACCCAGCTATGTTCCTCAAGAGTCAGAGTAGATAAAAGTATTACAGAATTAGATAATAAAATGAAATTCATACCTTCCTGGAAGAATCTTTGGAATTCTACTGAAATTAGTTCTGGTACAAAAGTTTTCTGTTCACTAATCAAATATATCTAAATTTGAAATACATATTTCTAAAGCTTAGGGGAAGAGCTGAGGATGTGGTTTCCATCTATAGAGACACTAGCTTGCTTGAAATACTGCATCTCAATATATTCTCCCAAGATAAAATTCTTCTGAGAGTCAAGCCTCTATTCTATTATGAATAGAAAAGGGCACTCCCAATCCTTAATTTAACTATCTGTGCCACTGAAACTAAATTCTGGTCTACTGAATGCTAATTAACATAGCTTTTAATTTAATTAATAATGTCTGATTAGATGCTAAAAAGGCTTGTTAATGACCACTTCAGTGCTCTTATATGTAAGTTTAAATATGCTCTGTATCTATACGCATGGGATTTGTTTGTGAACAGTAGAGAGATAGCAATTTTTCCCATAAGCATTGTCTATGATTGTCACTTAATCAATAAATACACAATTAGAAGAAGGCTTTGCTTTCATGGAATATAGTGCCTTTCTCTAAAGAGCTCCAAGTATATTACAGACAGTATGGTAATTAATCCCCATTATATACCTGTGAGTGACATAAATGGAATCTATCAACCCTTCTGTTTTACAGGTGAGGAAACTGGCCAGGGGAGGAGATGGTCAGAGGCAGACATAAGTCAGTGATACTTCCTGCTTCCCTTCTAGTGCCTAAGCCTCACCATGAACAAAGGATGTCAGAAGCCTTTCATAATTCTCATTCATATCCCCTGTGAAATAGTCTTCAGAGAGGTTATCATGGCCTGTAAAGTCCGCCACCACCTAGCCCTGCCCGCCTCTCAGATTTTGACACCTTCTTCTCACCTGCTTCCTACCCCTCAACCCAGCCACATCATCCTTTCTGTTTTCCTAACACTGTCAGCTTTTCCCATCACCCAGGTTCCTACTCCAATGTCACTTTCAGCTCTCAGCTCAAAGGTTCAGCTTTTACCCTTCCCACCCCACAGCACCTGCCTTATCACATTCACATTCATCTTTTTCTTATTTCCCTAATAGCAAGCACTGCTCTCTCAAGCACCTGCTTTAATTATTTATTTCCTTGTTGGTGTGTCTTCTCCCACTCATCTACCGGTGCTAACCTCCTTGTCTTGCTTGCCCTCTATCCTCAAAGCCCAGATTAGAACAGAACAGAAAATCACTAAATACTTGTGGAACAAAGGAATGGTTATAACATGCCATGATAGACACTCTCTACTCAGATGCAACATCAACATATATAATAAAGCATAAATGATCCAATTTAAAATCCATGACACTATTTTCTTTGCTTCATTCACAAAAGTGAAGTTGACCCACTTTCTTCAAATAAAGGTATGTATATAAACCTCATAAAAGTCTAAAATCATAAGTGACATTGGTGCTACTCAGAAGAATGCCAGCCACTGCAGCCAAAGTCTCATGACTGGCTACTGAGTTTAAAGCAATCCATTACCCTAAGGTTTAAAACATAATTCTGAATACATAAAGATTTGATACATAATACAAACCACAGGAACTTCTTATCCCGTGGATAGAATGCTGAATTATAGCTTGATATACAATAGTTCTATGTCTCCACTAGTTGAATACTTCTATGTCTACACTAGTTGAAGAATTGTACATACAATAGGTGACTCTATTAGATTGTATAAATGATACTGCCACTCAATAACTATGGGACTTTGAACAAGAGACGACTTTCTTATCCTCAATTTTGTCATCCAGAGTTCTAAGATCCATTATGATTCAAGATTACCCAGGCTGGCAGTTCTTACAGTATTGTAGTGCCAGAAGATAAGCTCAATTTTGAAATATGCAAATGTGAGCATCCCACCATTGGCACTATTTGCCATAAAAAGTTGTACACTGAAGTATGTAAGCAACTTCCAATCCATAACATTTTCTGTAATATGACTTGCTGATAGTTTCCAAGGCCTTACAGAAATCACTTGCAATTATTTTTAATAGAATTAATAAATATGTCCAGTCTCTCTTTGGTATAGTTGGATGGCAAAATCTTTTGTCCTGTCTTGTTAGTTGTGTCTTAGTATTATGACTAGAACTGGATAAAAATTATTATTTATGCCATTTATCTTTAGTTACTTTGAAAATTGAGAATTGTCACACTTATTTGTTTTCCTATGTTTGCAAGAGTTTTTGCATGCCTGTTTGTGAACAAGTTTTACGTACATTCTTACAAAGCAAATGGAATTCACATTTTATTTATGCAAGTGGTGTCAGGAAAATTCTCTTTGAATCATTACCATTACCTGGATTACTAGAGCTTCAAAGATCAGTAATATGGCTCTCAAAATTTCAGTGCAAATTTTGGTTGTTTCTTCATATTATGTAGTTTCTGATTTCATAATTTAAATATTATAAAATTCAAAAGTTCTACCCAGTTTTTCCTGTCACTTCTCATGTGATCTCACTTTAAGTAATTGGAACAAACTGTCTAATTTCATGCAGCATAATTGTTAGGCAGACTCAAGCTATGGAGGCTCAGCACTCTGTCTCCATTAAAAAATTTTCTGTTGTTCGGGATATATTTTTTTTAAAATAGAAATGAATGAGCCTGGACAAATTATATGTCACAATAATCTGGCCATTGTTGAGGAGAAAAGGGTATCAACAAAATTCCTAAACCCTTGTCTATGGTAGGTCAACTGAATGTTTTTCTTTTTCTCATAGTTCTTGGCCTTAGTGTCCCACAAACTTTCAATCCCTGAAAAAAAAGTCTATAATTGCTAGAATCACATGAAAGCCATGACTTCATGTAGCTAATCCTTAGTCAGCCAAAAATTCACAAAGAAGTAGGCTTTTAAACTGAAACCCAATACGTTTAAATATCTAAAATCCTGCGCATCTTTACTAAATAAGCTTTTTGTGGACAGTATGAGTTATTCTTTTGTAGACTTGAAAAAAATGACTTGACAAAAACCCAGCATGCCACAGGCACGGCTGCTGAAAAAACATTCAAAGTCCTGTTGCCTTTTGCCCACAGGGCTTGTGAGGCCATTCAATGGGCAAAGGCAGACATCATTTTGCAAAAGAGATCAAGAGTAATCTCCAAGAAGTGCCATATTTAGGGAGAAAATGGGAAATTCATTCCAAACCTTTGCAACCTAAAGGCCTCTGGTCATTCCTGGCCATTCTCCCAAACACCTTTGCTGTTATTGCATCTCAAGGACACAGTTTAAGAAAGATCAGCAAGCTCTTGTGAAGGAAAGATGGATGGCACTTCCCAGATATACCAATCAACCTAATCACTTCAGGATATCAAAGCAAATTTGACCACAGTCCCATAAACAGTGAGGGAGACCTCGCCTCTGTTGTGTACATTAGCCTCTTGCTATTATCTCTTAAAAGCTTAATTATTTGCAAACAATTGATCAAGATGGGAATTTGAGAAAGGATATGCAAGGGCCACTGGGAGAACTGCAACACATTAAGAGAGCAAACAAAATTACCTTTAGATCTTACAATAAGAATTAACGATTGAGAGGGGAGAGCTAGGCAATGCAGTAGCTGCAGGGGTTCCTTCTCGAGTGTTTCCCATTTGATCTGCATTAACACCTCAGGAATGAGTGAAAGCCATAAAACAGTGATTATGTATGGGGAAAGCTGGCCCCTCCCTTCCAGCATTAAACCTGCACACGTGTATTAGGCTGGTTTTTCTGAGAAGAGATGCTGACCTCCAAGGGAAACTAAGTGTCTTGTGGGCAGTGGAACCCCAGCTAAAGGGGATAACTCTTGAAATGATCATCCTTATTTCAATCGTCAACACCTTGACTTCTCCTTTCTAGCACAGATCTCTTGCTGAAATATAAACCACTTGCCACTCTTCATGTGTTTCTGGATCTTGCAGTGACTTCCAATAATGAACCAGTATAGAGTGATGCTTTAATGACCCCATCAAAGAATAAAATGATCCCTAGGGTAAGGTCCTGTATAAAAGAAATAAGTGATGTCTGAGAAAAATCTAAAAATACCTTATGTAAAAGTTGTCTGAGCTGTCATTTTACCAGCCGCAAAGGATACAAAGTGACAGAAAATGGAGACTTTCTCAAGAAAGTTATGTCTGCACAATTCCAGTGTTATTTCTTGAGACTGGGACGGGAAGGGAGTTTTAAGTTGGTTATCTGGTATTTACAAGTTTGCAATACATTGGAAGAAAGTGTGTTTTTTTAA